TTGGAAATTGTAGAAATTATCGATGGCCAAATTTAAAAAAATTAAGAGTAATATAGATCTTTTTTAATTTATCCGATAATAAATACCAATTTAAAGGCCTATATATCATCTTCTCAGATCATATTCGATCTTTGAAATCGAATCAAAAACAGTCATTCAAATACTCATTAATCTACAAAATCCTATTTTCTGACCTAAATCGACAGGTCGCGACCTCTAAATGACCTTTAAAAAATCTATAAAAATAGATCAACACAACCAGACGTGTTTTTGTTTCGCTCTGTCGTATTTTCGGCATTGTCGTGAGAATTAAAATTTATGTAAACAATAAAGACTTATTAACTCTTAAATTGTGTGCGAATATCCTGAAATTCTTTTCATAATATCAAGTGCGGCGCGCATCAGTAATTGCATTTTGTTGCTTAAAATAAATACACCAAATAATTTAATTCCCCGCTTGTTTGTTATGTCGGTCACTGCTCTCCCCTCACAAAAACGTCGGCTGAGCAAAGGCTCCCTTTCCGCAAAGGCAGCTAAGATTGATGAGGGCACAATTATCACTCTCACAGCGGTATACAACAAGCTGAAAGAGGTAGAGCAGAGATTGCAGCAGCAGACTGAACAATTACGGCCGCTAATCGAAAGTGTCTCTCACAAAATCATTGAAGTGGAGAACAAACTTACAGAGCGAATTGATGAGGAGATTTATTTTAATCAAATGATGCTTTTTTCATAACAGTTTGTATTTAACAAAAGCAAAAAATTAACAATATGTACAACAATACATACATAAATCAATACACAAAACGTTTTCGCTCATAACGATTGAATAGCCTCTATACATGCTATGATGACTCATGCTTACGACGTATTACCGAAGTACTATTAAAACTACTATATCTCGAGAAAGAAATATCAAATCGCAACACACGAAAATAATGCCCTAAGTAGAAATGAGCAAAAAATTTGATGTTTTCATTATATAACCTCAAATATCACAAAACCCCGTGTTTTTGGCAATCTGGGGTAGGATATCTAAAAATTCTAGTACTAGAGCAATTGTGCGGCGAGATTTGGATTCAGCACCAAGAAACGATGTGTTTTACTCAGGTGGTAAAAAAGTCAAAATTTGTACAAACATTAGAGAAGAAAACAAGAAATACTTAACTTACGCGTAGCGTACTAGCATTTTCAACGCAACTAGAATTCAACAAAGTGGGTTTGCAACTTCAGCTTTTTATCAATCATGGTTGTATTTTAGTGCATGTAAATTTGTATATTCTTGTAAATTCCGCATCTTCATGAACACCGCAGCTTATAATATTTCAAATCATTTCAGGTTTTAACTATCTCGGAGTAATATTAGTTAAAAAAAGCACTAAAAAAGGCACTAGGCACTAAGTAATTTTTTTGGCGTTTTAATTTTCAAAAAGCACTAAATCTAGTGCTTTAAGCACCAAGTTGGCAACTACGGTAACTGAATCAACAACGGTCATTTCAGCACTGAAGGAGAGAGTGGAAAAGTCTGAGTTGGAAATTGAGTGCTTGAAAGCGGAGTTAGCGAAGGGAGTAAAGCAGAGATTGACTACTGATTTTGCTGCTGACGCCGTTGCTTTTGGCGTACCATTCAAGGAAGGGGAAAACCTAAAGAGTATATTTAATCAGGTCGGTTTGTCGATCGACTTCCTGGCTCCGCAAATAAGAGATATCTTTCGCACAAGGCCTTCACGTGCTGGCCTTAACGGCGCGATTGTGATAAAATTCCATTCACCTCTTGATCGCAATCGTACTCTCCGCGCCTTGGCGAATATCGCAATCGCATGAAAACTACTGTTCCCCTGCAACCCCTTGGCATACAGGGGAATTTTCAATTATATGAGAGCCTTAGCAAAGCTAATAGGCTATGCTGCAAGCGGCCATACAACTTCAGCGTGAGGGGAAATTGTGGTCTGCATTCACCATCCGCGGCTGTGTGAACGTCAGACAGACCGATGATAAAGCCAGCCAGCCAACCAAAGTTTCATGCTAAGAAAAAAAAAATAAAAAATAAAAATTTGGAGCAGTTTCGCTAGCTATAGGCCTGTATGTTTGTTTGATTGTATGTTTGTTGTTCTGTTTTTTGTTTACTTTTGTAATGTAAAGATAGCGCAAGTCTATTTGTTTTGTTTGGTTTTTCTGACATGGTCTTGTTTTCGCTACCTTAAAGTTGCTTTAAAGGCCCAAAAATTAGTGCGAACAATAGAAGTCCGAATGGCATTGCGGACAATAGCCTTGCAACGCTGAATATTTTGTGCAGGCGGCAAAATGGGTTCAATGTTGTGCGCTTTAATGCGCGCAGCTGGAATAGTGAAAAGATGGATGAAATTAGAGGAATATTTGAATCCTCTTATGTTGATGTCATTTGTGTTTCCGAGACCTGGTTTAGACCTGAAGTAAAGGACGCCCTTTTTGACATATTTAAACGGTTACACGATTTATAGGACGGATAGAAAGGTAAAGAAAGGTGGTGGTGTCGCTATAAACTGTAAAAACTACTTAGAAACTCGGTTTATATCAAGAACATCTGATAGCGGTACTGAGCATCTGTTAGTTGAAGTGTCTAGTTCATATTCCAAAGTCCTTTTGTCTTGCGTTTATAACCCGCATTAATGATGTAGTGTGAATGAATATTTTACTATGTTTTCATCTGTCGCTGTTGATTATAATGACATTATTATTTGTGGAGATTTTAATGTGAATCTGTTGGGTAATGGCTCGTATTGCTCTCACTTGTTAGATTATGTATCTGGTGTTGGTCTAGATCAGGGAACTGCAATTATTCGTGTTTTTAAGTAATTGGTTGAATAACACAAGAAATAGTGTTAGTGGATATTATTCATTGCAGAATATTCACACATATGCACTAACACTATTTTACGCTCGGCACACAAAGCGAGAGCATGTACAATGACTAAGTTCTCTATTGATATGAATTGGTGTAATGCTCACATTTGTTTATGGTGGCGCCCGCATGTCGCAAAGTGTTGGGAAATTAAATTGTTCCTTCAGTACGAAATCTATACAAAAACTATACTTTTCGACTGTAAATTGCATCGACTCACAGTGCTGTATGAGCGGGCAAAAATCAAAAAAATTGTTGTCACGTATGTCAACGTGTTTGGTATCGTTGGAAAGGAAATTTATCCTAGATTAAGGATCTGGACTTAGTTTTTGTTTTTATCTCATAAGGTTCTCACAAAAACCTCTTAAAGTTGTGTGTTTTTTATATATTTTTTCCTTTTATCAAATTGCCTTTAGCTGGAGTCTTTACAAAAAAAAATTGCTAAAAATACAATTTATCATACTTTATCTTAAGACACAATTTTTCTAATTAGAAAATCTGTAAGGAAACCACTCTATAGAGCTTTTTAAAAAATATTGAGTTTCCTGGCTGGAATGGCCTATTTGCTACACCCTAAAATTTGTTGCAGAAAATTTAAAAAATTCCTAAGTTTACAAAGGGATAAAAAAAAATATGTAAAAGTATGTTTTTTTTTTATTCTTTTATTTGAAAGAAGGGGCATTTTTCTTTGAAATAAAAAAAAAAGTCTGCAGACTCATTGCGCTTTTCGAAGAAAATCGTTTTTTTTAAGGTTATAAAATAAACTTTTGCAAAAAAAAAATTTCACTGATTACAGTTACCACAGTATTTTCCATTACTTAAATGCCAAAACATTCTTTAAAAATAGTAAAGTTTATTACTGTAGACACACGCGGTAGTGTTCTGTGCTGTGTAGTGAAGCGTAAAATAGTGAAAAAACTAATATTAATATGAATTCAATTATAAAAAACTCAATTTTAGCTGATATCTGGATTTCTACTCGTCCATCAGATAGAGTGTCTGCATTATCTGCATTTTTTGAAGACAAATTAATACACGCTAAATGCGACAAAGCACTTTTGAATCAAAAAATAAAACTTTTTAATAGTGAGATGAAAAATAAGTGGAATTATAGTGGCCGCAAAAGAAGCGCTTTTGAAAAAACATATTCTAAATGGCTAAATTGGACATTCCTTTCCCTTCCGGATTCCAATGGAAATAAGGATAAATGTGCTGAACGGGGAAGACCTTCTAAAGAAGAATTTTGCGAAGCTTCACGGAGACCAAAAAATCGAAGGGTAGAGCATTTGTTGAAAAACTATTCCATCGAAGAGCTCGAGTATGCTCTGAAAAAAATGAAAAAAGCAAGCAAAGTTGAATGTTTTGAAAGTAGTACCGAAGGTTTGCCCATATCTGATTCACTCGCACTATACATAGATCTGAACTTATCAGATCGTAAATATAATAGTTTACGTGCAAAAATAAACCGGTTGCATAAAGATTGTATACCGAGCTTAAACGCATTGCAAACAAAAAAACAAACTTTGCTGCCAACGATTAAATCGACTGAATATTCAGCCGAAGTTGATCTGAAATCATTATTGCTGAAAACAACGCAAAGTATTTTAGAACTAAGCCCAGATAATGGTGACATAACCAAAGCTTCTTTGGTTTGTAAGTGGGGCATGGATGGAAGTTCGGGGCATAGCCGCTATAAGCAAAATTTTGGTGACGACAAATTAACGGATGAGTTTATGTTCATCATTGCGCTAGTCCCTCTGAGGTAACAAAAAATTATCTAATATGTCTTCCAAAAACATTCAATAGCCTTTAAAAATAAATTCGAGTTTAGATCAGTAAATGGCATTTTAATTTACATTGACAACTTTTTACAGTATTATTTTGCAAAAGGCTGGTCTGAATTAATTAATTTACTCGATTAGCTATTTTGCGATATGACGGTCTTATATCTTTTCGACAAGCCATATAAGTTATTAAAAAATAAATATTTTTTCCAGGTTAATTGATTTGTCATCCAACAAAAATATATGGACCAATAACAAATGCTCATCGTCTTTTTATTGTCGTCCAATTAAGTTTAGTTTCAAGAAGGAAAACCGCGAACTAGTTCTATTCGAATATAATGATATGTCGAGAAAAATTGAGAACTTAGAAGATGATGTTGTAATACGAAACGGAAAAGGGATTCAAGTTTCTTATCAAATGCATTGCACCATGATTGATGGATCTGTTGCCAATATTTTGACTGGCACTAATGCTTCCAGTAACTGTTTTATTTGCCATGCCAAACCGACCGAAATGAATGTTACTAATTTTACAAAAGTACCAATCGCTAATCATTACAAGTATGGGTTGTCTACACTGCATGCTTGGATTAGATGTTTTGAGTGTTTACTCCACATCGCATACCGTTTAACATTTAAATGCTGGCAAGTTCGCAAAGAAAACAAAGACGCCTTTTCTGCGAATAAAGTTAGGATTCAAAATGAGTTTAGGACAAGATTAGGCTTAATAGTGGACCAAGTAAAGACTGGATTTGGAACAACTAATGATGGCAACACAGCTCGCAAATTTTTTTCAAATGCAGAAGTGGCATCAGAAATTACCGGCATTAATAAAGAGCTAATTCAAAATTTTTCAATAATACTGCGATTAATATCGTGTGGAATGCGTATTAATATCGACGCGTTTAGAGAGCTCCTTATAAGGACAAGAACAATGTATTTGACTGAATACGAATGGTACTACATGCCTAGCAGCGTGCATAAAATATTGATGCATGGGTGTGAGGTTATTGAGTATTTCGATCTACCAATTGGTAAGAAAATCGATTTGTTGCTATTCGGCATTTTTTACTACTACGAATTTATTCCCACAGGCAATTTTTCAGAGGAAGCTCTGGAAGCTTTACATAAACACATACGTATCGTACGATATGATCATACACGTAAAACTGCTCGGGAGCATACAAACAGAGACTTGATGTCATACTTAACAATATCATCAGATCCTGAAGTAGTTTTTAAAAGGAGTGCTATCCCAAACAAAAATGCAGTTTATACAATGGACGAGCTGGAAGAGTATTTAGTCGATGCTGAAGAAACTTAAAAGTAATAAGTACCCTTCAGTCAACTCAATTAGTTTTATACTAATCAAATACTAGTCAGCCACACGGCCTCAACTAGTTCGAGTTCTGTAATTTTTCCATATAAGCAACTGGCCACGGCGATGTCCTACGAGATGGCAATTGTCCTCTTCTGCATCAGCACTATACCAGTTGGCATACTAGTCAGCCTCTGCATCAGCAATATATCAGTTGACATACTAGTCAATATATACATCAATATCATACCATTTAAGATACTAGTTCGTATATACGTCATGATCGTACCTGTTGGCATACTAGTCATTATATACATCAGAATCATAGCAGTTGACATACTACTCAGTCTATGCGCCAGAACATACTAGTCAGTATGCACGTCAAGATCCTACCACTTGTCATACTAGTCCACGAATTTGACATTCATTCCAGTTGGTATACTATGGGATGGGATTTTTCTGATTAGTATGATTTCTAGTATAGATTACACTTTTTCTGACTAGTATGATTTCAACCCGAAATTCATGAATGAATTCATGTATGAATACACCACAAAATTCATGTATGAATACACCACAATTCATGTATGAATACACCACAAAATATATAGTCAATGAACTAGTGTGTTTGCTGAGTAGTTTGGAATTTGACTGCATGATGACTTTAATTTTTCAATAAACGGCGTTAGATAAAACAAATAATTTTTGATTCAGTATTTTGCAACAACTCTTGTTCGTGCGAAGTAACTAATAAAAAGGAAAACAAAATTATATTTGTCTTTTGAGTATTTAATGTCGTCTTGAATGAATCAAATTTTTTAAGCGTGTGACATCCACACCAAAAGATATAATCAATTTAAAAAAACATTTTGTAGTCAAAAAGGACCAAAATGAAAGTAGCTGCCATTCCTAGAGGGTTTGCGTAAGAGAGATATAGGGAATCTTATTTGCCATGAATTAAGCCATAGAATGAAGCCTTGAAGTCTTTAATATTATTAGGAAAACGCCCTGTATAAATAAAATAACTACTCAGTATTGGAACTACTTCTGAATATCAAATTTTGCAGTTTCAATCTCAGTTTCCATGAAAAATGTAAGAGCTAGGTAAAAAAAAAAAATTGATTTTTGAAATCTCCGTACTCTAATCCACCAAGAAACCAATTTTTACTCAAATCCGTCCATTATTCTATTTTTGCCCACTTTTTATATGGAGACACAGCACTGTGCGACTTTTTAATTTGCTCATATATTTTCTTAGTACATGCATACATAGATTCCCTTCAAGATCAATGATTTGATGGTATTCATGGGAAAGTTTATGTAGGTACATTTTATACTTTGAACATAAATGTGTATGCACATATTTTAAGGTACACTTCTTAACAAACAAATTTTTTAAAGTTATTATGCATGGATAAAGGAGACATCTTCCTTGATTCAGTAGTAAAGTTTGACATTTTATTTTTAGTATTTCAAGTGCTTATCAAAACTTTACGATACTCACATATTGACAAGATTGGCCATTTGTTTATGAAAATGCAGTTTATACTTTAATAAAACCCCAAGGTTCAATTTTTGCGCAACATTAAAAAAATCAACAAACTTTCGTAAAAATTTCGGGCTTTTAACTCGATTTCCTAGAAATACATGTTTTGAGAATGCCGTTTGCAGTCCGATCAATTTAAATGAAGTGCAAGTTTAAAATAGCTGCGACTTATCGTTGATTTTTAATATATATTGTCCTTTAAAGTGCAAAACCGCGTATCAACAAAATGCAAAACCGCGTATCAGCAAAATACAAAACCGCGTATGTGAGATTGCATAAATTATTTTCTAGAGTAAAAAAACACTCATATTTCAAAATGGTTATCTTTTTTATAAAGCAAACGCATTTCTGCCTAGTATATTTCAGGACGAATGGATAAGGATTGAGCCAAGAGCTTGTGTGAGCAAATCCAATTTTTGGCAGCCAATGTCAGTTACGCGGTTTTGCAGAATGACGATACGCGGTTTTGTACTTTAAACGACGATATATATTTTTTTTGATGAAGGTGTTGCTCATTTTCTTCGTTTAAAAAAATCGCGTTTAGATAATATGACATTGACGGCAAATTCCAGCTGCTTTAAACTTGTACTTTATTATACTAAAATTAAAATAGAAAGCTCGAAATTTTTACGAAAGTTTGTCGATTTTTTTAATGTTGTTCAAAGATTTAAACTTATTTTCATACAGTTTTTGTTAAGGAATTAACTATATTTTTATAAACAAATAATTAGAATTAAAAAATAATAAAATAAATAGTCAACTCTAGTCAATATATGAGTGTCGTGAAGTTGTGATATTTAAGAACATAAAGAATTAACGAAGACACTGTTTCTAACTATATGAAGCTGATTTCAACATTTTGTTTTAATAAGATTTAGTATCGAAAATATTCTTTCAAAACTTGCCTAGGAATGTGAGGTTGATAGTACACCTTTTGCTATGTTATAATGGTTATTTCAAAACCTTTTTTCAAAACTTACAAAGGCAAAAACGAGAAGGCGAAGACAAAAAGATAAAACGAATTCCCGCAGTGAATTTTCAGAGCTACGTTTATATTTAAGGTATTCATCACAAAATTGTACTAAAAAGTACTGCGTAGTAAACGAAATTGTATCAAAAAAGTACAATTGTACCAAAAATGCCAACACTGATGTAGAACAAAGCAGAACACAAATAATATTAAACTCATTGAAATTATTTTCAGCCTCTCATTCGACCAAATGAGTAAAATCCAGCTGGGTAGACCACACTCGATAGAGACAAAAATTGACGCCTCAAATAAGAGTTAGTATATTTTGAGTGTATTCTTGTTTTGGTGGAAATTACTCTTAGTCATTTTTTGAATTAATGTAAGTGTTCATTTGCACCAATTTTTATGGATCATGAATAAGTACACTAATTTCATTAGTACTCAAAGCCGGTCTCTGGTCTAGATGTGGTTAATTTATCGGTACCCACAAGGTATGGGCAAAACTGTTGTCCTAGCCTGCTCGATTATATTATTGTGTCTGATATGTCAATAGTAGTAAAATTTTACCAAATCTCATTTATCTCGGACCATGATCTTATTTTCTGTGCGTTTGATATAAAGTTTGACCGGCATAGTATAGTAACTAGTCCGTGTTCTGTGGCGTAACTTAAAAAACCTTCGTGTACATGTTAGTGACAGTCCTAATTGTTCCCTTAGTCCTGAAGACCTCAATAATGCCTTTGTCAATCGTGCTACTCCATCCTGTGCAAATATTTGCTCCATTCCCAGTCCTTCGCCTGTTTCGTCTGTTCTTAAAAATTTTGAGTTTGAAGCTGTGTCAGAGGTTGAAGTAGCAATGTGTATTAATAAAATAAGGCCAAATGCAGTAGGGGCGGATAGCATTCCAATTAAATTTGTAAAACTAATTACCCCGTACATTCTGCCTACTCTCACCTCAGTCAAGTGCAATGCTTGCGAGGGGTGTAGTCACCTCAGAGTCTGCTCAGGACTACGGACACATCGGCAGTGGACCACATCGTATGGGCCCCCTGCTGCTCAAACAGAGCAGCCTCCACGGGTAACCCTAGTCCACTTGAGCAGTCCCACATAAACACCACAGCACAACAACATAACACTATAGACCCCACCACAACCGCGACAGACCACAGATCACACACAACCCCACCACCACCCACACGCCGCCGTCAACAACTCTTGGTTCCTCCTACAATCTGCACAGTATGTCAGACCAGGATATTCCGTGATGTGACATCAGTCAAGTGCAACACCTGCCTTGGTTGGTGCCACTTTAGGGCATGTTCAGGTCTGCGCACCACGCGAGATTGGACTAGGAACTTCGAGGGCCCGCGTTGCTCAGCACGGTCGCAAACTTCAACCACGACGCCTCCTACCACCTCCACAGGGCGGCAACCACCTCAGCAGCGCAGCCAATGGCGTTACGGCCAAACACATCACTCACACCCCGCATTACCACACGTCTGCCGAACCACATGAAGCTCCTTCAATTTAACTGCAACGGGCTTCATAGCAATATCGAGGAGATAACCGTCTTTATGGGAAGGCATGGTATAGCTGCGGTCCATCGAGATCGCGAGCGAGATAATGGTGGTGGCTTAGCGTTCATCAGGCACCACATCGTGCAGTATCGTCTTATCGAAGCAGACATCGACCGCAGGGATACCATCCTAGAATGTCAGGGCATTGCTATCCGCTCAGGCGATGTTTAGCTCGAAATATTCAACGTTTACATACACCCTGTCACCTGCTGCCCGGCAGGATATCACCCTAATATAGGTGTGCTCCTCAGAGGTGAAAACCGAATGGTAGTAGGTGCTTTAATGCGCACCACGATCTTTGGCACTCAAGCCTGTCAAACGATCGTAGGGGAACCGATTTGGCTGAGCAGATAGTAGATTCGACAATCTGCAGCTGCTGCAGCTCGCCAGACATAACAATAGTCAGCGCTGGTCTGATAAACAGCATACCATGGCGACCTATGCTGACTTTGCCATCAGAACATCTGCTCATAGTCATCTCGATCGATAAACCAACCGACTTTGCTTCGGCGGAGCACCGAACATATATCAACTTCTCCAAAGCTGATTGGAAAGGCTTCGCGGAATTTACTGAAAACACCTTCGCTGCTCTCCCCACACCAACCGACGTCCACCTTGGTGAACGTAAGCTCCACAGGGCTGTCACTACTGCTGCAGCCCGCTTCGTACCGGCAGGATACATCACTGACCTACGCCAAATTTCATGCCGAAGCGGCTGTCCTAGCCGATGAGCGTGAGAGCCTTAGTCAGACCGATCCCGGTGATCCCCGTATCAGGGATCTTAACGCGGAGATTCGGCAACTAGTGAAAGTACATAAACGGAATAAGTAGGAAGAACATGTGAAGACCTGTTACTTCACCTCTGGTGTGAGTAAGCTTCGGTAAACCGTGAGGTCACTGTCCAATCCTATGAAGCACGACAACAGAATCGAAATCTCTTTCCGCGACCATGCCTCGTCGGCCCCGGAGCGATGCGCGAGCTACTTTAGCCGGCAGTTCATACTGCATCATCCGGTGGACAAAACCAAGCGTCGAGTGACAAGAAGGCTGCACAAACTGCCAACAAATTGTGCCCCCCTTGCTTTCACTTGCGGTGAAGTTCAGGTGGCCATCGGGAAGGCGAAAGCCTCCAAAGCCATGGGACGCGACGGAATATGCATGTTTATGCTGAAAAATTTGGGTACTGCGGGAGTAGACTATTTAGCCAAGGTTCTCAACCTGTCAAAGGGGCCACTCTTGTCACTCCAGACATCTGGAAGATGAGGAGAGTGGTCCCAATGCTCAAACCGGGGAGACCAGCCAACAAATGAGAGTCTTATCGCCCGATAACGCTCCTTTCCCCGGTAGCGAAGACACTTGAGGCCCAGCTGCACCCGTATTTCACGAACCACCTGACCCCAGCGAAGCATCAGCATG